CAGGGATTTTCCTCAGTGAGAGCATGGCGTTTATTTTTAGGTGGGGGAACAGGGATGGATGGATGGACAGAGGCAGCTGGGGTGGAGGAGTGGGACAGGGGGAACAACTCCCTCATGACTCAGAGTTGGTCTAATAATACACTGTGGGTCCGACATTCAGACGTGCATTATTGCTCTCGGTACCAACAGTTTAATAAACAGACCTGACAGAACCATTCATTTACTGTAACCACTATAAGGTTTTAATCGAACACACACCTTAAAGGAATAATTCTACCCCCCAAATAATCATTTCTATATCAAAAAGTAATCCTGTGATGATAGCTTGTTGAAACATAACATATTATTTATTCTAATTTGTAAGTACATGGGTTTTCTGTGTTTGTGGAGTTTAAAATTATAATATTTTTGACAAAAACACAAGCTGGTAAGTACTGATTATAGAACTAAAAACATGAGATTGGGATTGTACTGCACAAGTTGTGTTAGTGTTTGTTGACAGTTTGCTGTTGTTAAACGGGGGACCAATCATCTTCAATTTTCCAAGAATGTTGTTTTCTTGGTATTCCTTTAAGTGTTACATCTTAAAAAGTACTCCGGTTGAACGCGCTTAGTAATTGACACCCACTACACTGACCTCTTATCTGAATATCTACTTTAACAATCACTCACTGTAAGTCTTAAAGCATTTGCAGAAACTAAGTGGTGTAATAACAGCAATAGCCAATAGATGAACAACAAAAACAAAGATAGAGAAAAAAAGGGTATACATTGAAGAGGGACAAACAAGGGAGAAGACATTCATTGTGGTAAAGAGATGGACGCACACAGTGAAACGCTTCACTAAAACTGTCAGAGAGAGAGACAGGCAGATTCTAACAATAACCCGCAACATATGTTGATTATAAATAGAGAACAGCATGAGACTGTCTAATCAGAATGTCACCCCCCTTCATTCCTGCCCCCCACAGCAAATGGTTTTCCCCACTCTGCTGCTGCTTTAACATGATCCAAGAGGAAGAGCCTGGCGGAGGGAATGAGCTCTCAACTGGAGACAGTGTGTCCCCTGTTGGTCATACCGGCAATATCATCCTCTGATAACATTTAAATAAGATGCAGAAATACTGAACATGTCTGTGGTGTACAAGATGGTTTTTATTTTAAGTTGTAGATACAAAACAAGTCATTTACTGGCTTTACAAAGCATTTGCCAATCAAGAAAACTTTAACACAATTTGTTTGATAAGTTATTTAATCAAAGGCTATTTAATGGTTTCTACTGGGCAGACTGTGCCTCCATTTGATAGTCGCATGCACATAAACACAGCTAAGAGTCGAGGTAACAAAAAAAAACACTGTTTAAAAGTAGAAAAATCCACTGAGAAAAAATATTTAAAAATTGCATTAAGGAGTTGCTTCATTTGAATAATACTTTTTCAGGTTTGCCAAAAGTCTGGATTGGTGAAGTATTTAAAAGAAGCACAAAGTAATTCAATATACCTAAGCCGTATACAACTGTATTAAACGAACGCATTATCCTCACTGAGATCAAAATCCCCTTTTCAGGTGTTTTTTCTCCTGCTGAAAGGAGAGCATCACAGCTTCAAAATGGATTCAACAACTTTTTAAAGGCAGCGAAGATAGTACTTATAAACTTATTTCTGCAGTTTGTTATTCAACAGGACTTGTTGGGTTGGGCTGATTTATACATTTTGATTGCTTCTCAAATTTGGGTTTAGAAAATGTGTGTACTGTGTCAAATGCTCACAGAAATCAAGACAGTTTTGCTATTTAAAGAAAGCCCTTTTTTTGTTAAGACACCAACTGGCAGAGGACACTGTGGAAGATTGTCCTGCACAGTTTACAGAACAGCAAGGCTGGATTTATCAGGAAACCATAATCAGGCATCAGATGTATCAAAAGTGGAATAAGGCCCGAAAATAATTCTTATAAAGCAGCTTAAATTCAAGGACAAGCAAGCAGCATGTATAGTAGCATGAAGATTACGCAATGAAGTACAAAAAGCTGATAAGACCTGGTAACACTTGTCAGTCTGGATCTTTCTTCAGAGATAAACAACTGACAGGAAAACTAACACTTAGGTAATGCAAAGATTATAAGTTCATAAAAAGCCAAGTAATACTCTGTACTGCAGAGCTATTGAGTTGCTCTCATTTTAATCGACCCACAGCCAGAAAACCAATCTGGAAAGAGATGTGTGTGGCATGGCACGTAAAGGAGAGTAAGATGTCTCCACAGTGAGCGTGTGTGAGTGTGTGTTTAACTTCATCAGGGAATGTGAAAGGAGTCCTTGATCCACTGGTCCCTGGAGTTGCTGCTTGGTTGAGGCAGAGACAAGGATGAAGAGGATGGAGGTTGTGCGATAACTCCTGCCTCCTCCTCATCTTCCTCGTCCTCTGAGGAGGATCCGTTATCAGCAGAGAGCGAGACATCGGACAGCAGCGAGGAGCCCTTAAAGTCCTGGATGGACTCATGGAGGGACCACAGCTGGCACAGCAGAGACATGTCCAGCTGACGCAGACCGACCTGTTGCACAAAAACACAATCTGTTGTGGCCAACAAAGACTAACGCATGAGGAAACTTTGAACTTTCCCTTTTTTGACAAGATTGACGAGAACAAATATCTTTGTGTAATGCACAACACTATGCCAACTGAGCAAACAAAAAACTAGGAAGTGGACAATGAGTTTAGATTTTTTTCGTAATGATTTATCATCATAATTGCTTAAAGAGTGACTATAGTTTCAAGTAGAATATGTCACATAGACAAAGGCAGGATATTTGCAGAACACAAAAAAATAATAGTAGGCCTATAAATAGTTTGAAATCAATGTTCTTGCAGGATTATTGCCGTTTTGAGTTTGTATCGCCATGGTTGACTAAATGTAGGCTACATTGTAAGCAGCTTTGGATAACTGGCCAGATAATTAAATGTAATGGTGTAACTTCACCATCTCTTTCCGCAGCAGAGCCAGAGCAGCGTCCAGTCCTCCCGGCTTGCCGTGTCCGCGCTGCCCGTCCCCGCCGCCCCGGTTGATGTCGGCCTGGATGCGCGCCCTCTTGCTGTGGACCTTCTCGATGTCCCGCCACGACCCGCCGCTGGAGTTCAGGATGCCGCTCAGGCCTTTGGGCAGCGGCGGCAGCCCCTCCACGGAGGAGACCCCGGAGGCACCGCCCCCGCCCGGACCGTCCGCCGCGCCGCGCCGACTCCCGTTCATCACCCCGCGGACAGCTGACTCAGCACGAGACGCCACGGCACGCTTTCTGCATGGATCGATCACTTTCAAATGCGCATAAATGCTGTCTCACTCTCACCATCACCCAAAGGTGCTATTGGTTTCCCCTTCCAGCAGCGGCGGTTTCCCCAAGTCTTGAAAACAATATTAGAACAAATCAATGGCTGTCTCGTGGATGTGAGTGTCTAAAGGAGTGAATTCCGAGTTAATGTCACAGCTTCCTGGCTTTGTTTTGTTTCCTCTCCTTTGTGTGGGAGAGTTCACCCACAGACAGCCCCCGGCTCCTCCCGGCAGTCCCCGCGCCACGCCCCACTGTCTGGGGGAAAGAAAGCCTGTCAGAGGGTTGTTTACCTGGAATACTGCCGAGTCACGTTTACACACAAGCAAATTCATACACTATAAATGACATTCTAAGCAGTCATGATTTAATAGAGTGCTAAATTGATAAATTAACCATACCAAATAAATAATATTTAAAATAATCAATTAATAATTATTGCACACCAGCAGATGGGTATGCAATTCATGAGTCACATTTAAACAGAAATGCAGTTTACAGGTTTATTTGCACATGTTTAAACAAAGCGTTTTCCTAACAAACTTTGTAGTTTTGCATTTGGCACCCTCTTGTGGAAAGAAACAAAATGCATCACTCCTTTTCAGGCAAAGCTTTATTCAGGTAAATCATTTGAAACCTTTAACCGCCTTGAACAACACTGAAGCTGGCTTTTATCTAATATGAAGTGCTGTCTAGTTTGTTTGCTCAAGATGGTTGCAATGAAAAAAAGAATTGTGAGTCTGACACCTAAACGTCTCATCTGAGCATCACTGAATCACATGACCATCATCACCATCATATATCAAATATATTTACAATAAAAACCTCTTAACTGCCCGCACACAATGAAAATCATTGCAACACCAGAGGGTCAGACATGACAGAAATCACTCTGAATGTCTGGACAGTAAATAGAAAAATTCACCTTCGATCAGAGGACCGACTTCCTATTCATTTCAATTCATGACTTAGTCTGGTACTATGTTGTTTATCAGCACATCACACTAATGTTACATAATTATACAGACCTCCATGCAGTTGTTTTTTTAATTTTCTGATTTGCAAAACAAAAATTACTTTTGGGTACTTAAAATAATCAAATTGAGAACTCATTTAATTTTCCCAGATGTCAAATTGTAGGCCATTTCCATTACAATCAACTATGGAAGTCCGTTCGCAGTGTTTTACTGTAGAATACAGATGAAGTCCTTTAAAAAAAAAAGAAATGGCCAGATGGTTTTAAATTTACACCTACGATGAATGAGCATAAAGAACTGCTCAGTCCGTATCATTATATCATAACTTACAAATTGTCAAAAACGGTCAGACGTTAAAAACATTTGTACTCAAACATATATTGAAACAATGTAACATGAGATTTCTGCCAGCCATAAAGGTATGTAAACTCAAGAACAACATGTGAACTGTTGACATTTAATCCTATTTCAAGTGCATTTCCTGACCAATTTTGAATTCAGCTCTATGCAAGGATTCAGTCAAGAGAGATGCCGCAAAGCAGCGAACCAGAGTCAGTATTCCTGGATAGAGGCAAGTAGAAAGAGCGATCCTGTGGATCCAGGGTTACAACCACCTCCATGACGCTTACTGGCTGAGCTCCTTGAGGCTGCGCAGCGAGTTGGCACAGCTGGCGATGAGGCTGCACAGCTGGATGCTTGTTTCCAGGGAGGCCGAACTCTGTAGCTGGCTGGTGGCCCAGCGTAGTTTGATTAGAACCGCTTCCTCTGCCTCCTGCAACAACGGAGGGATCACAGGGCTCTGTGGACTGACAGGGGCTCGAGGGGGTACCAGGGCCGGGGTGGGGGCAGGAGTTGTAGGAGAAGGGACAGCAGGCAGAGGGAGGAGGGCTCTCCCTCCCGCGGCAGCCCCCTCGCAGTGCTCTGGTCTGGGCTGAGGCACTAGAACACTTGCCTGACTGGTGCTGGGGCCTTCGTTGAGTTCAGGGGCCGGAGCCGGGGGCAGGGCCGGGGGGGCAGCGGCCTGTGCTGCCAGCTGTCGCTCTCTCACCTGGGACAACGCTGCCTGAGCATTCAGAGCTGAGGGGAGAGCAAGAGGGAGAAAAGAAGAAGTGGGAACAAGCACAGATAACAGTTACAAAAACCTCAAGGCAAGAAGAACAGACATTGATTTAAGAACAAATATATATGTGGATGCAGCTTAATAACAAAATAAATAAGACATCTGGTTTGATTATTTCTTTAAATGCATCAAATATTAGTGTGTGTATACCAGGGTTATCCTTATCCACGTCAGAGTCCAGCTCCTGACACGAGACACAGTAGAGCTTCTGCTGTTTGTCCTGGAGAAGAATTGTCTGGAAACCAAAAAAAAAACATACTTATTTCATGACTCATGTTACCCAACTCCAGGTTGTCTACATTATGAAGGAACTACCAAAATCGTAGCATAAAAATCCAACTATCAAAAGCCTCTCCTTACTCACCCCACACACATCACAGCAGTCCCCCAGCATCCTGTATCCTTTGAGCAGGTAGCCTCCCATCAGCTTGCTGATTTTGTCTTGTCGCTCCTTGCGAGCCTGGATCACCTTCATCTCTGCTTCTGTTGGTGGCTCCCAATCAAAAAAGTCCTTGTCATCTGGGGTCAGAAACAAAGTGCTGATTTAATAAAATTGTTTCATTACATTACATGTTATTTGTTAGATGCTTTTATCCAAAGCGACTTACACACTCAATACTGTGGGCAATCCCCACAGGAGCAATTTGGGGTGAAGTGTCTTGCCCAGGGACACAAACACTGTACAGCACTATTATCAGTACAAAACACAGTGCTTTGTGGTGATAATATCACATATAAACAGAGCTGAGCTGGGGGAAGTTCTTAGATCTTGTACTTGATTAAAAGTAGAAGTACCAGAGTGTAGTAATACTCTGTGACAAGTAAAAGTCCTGCATTCAAAATGTTACAAGAGTAAAAGTACAAAAGTGTTAGCATCAAATACACTTAAAGTACTAATTGTGCAGATTCGCCCATTTCAGAATAATATAACTTACATGTTTTGATTATAATTATTGATGCATTAGAGTCTTATAAAAGCTGGTGAAGGTGGAGCTAATTTGCATGTCTTTGTATGCCGGTTAGCTTGTGAATGTTACTCCGGTTTGAACCATGGTTTGAACTAAAGTCTTATTCCAGTGTTATATTTTACATCATTTGCAACGTAACTAAATATATTAAATAAATGTAGTTGAGTAAAAGTACATTTACCAATTTTCAGGGACTTGTACTTTACTTGAGTATTTTGCAGCAAAATACTCAAGTAAAGTACAAGTCCCTGACAATTGTACTAAATTCCAGTACTTGAGTAAATGTACTCAGTTACGTTACACCACTGCATACAAACAGTTATTGGCACTGCTGTAACGTGTGTGTATACGTTGCGTTAGCCTTTAGTCTACTATATACATTGGATTTTACAGGACTTTTACATTGATTAGAACATTTATACACAACTCTGTGCTTGGTGCGTTGTTGCAAAACGTGATTAGCATTGCCGCAGTGCTCTGCTAGGAAATAACAAGCTAGCTAGCAAACCAGCCGGGCTAACGTCAGCTAACGGTGGTGACGAAAACAATGTTGGTACAAATAAAAGTACACACGAGAATGCTACATACATGTGTGACACAACACCTATACACCACAACAAACCAGGTGACTGTGAGAAATGTCAAGTTAGCTTACTTATAAAGCTCATAAGTTAACAAACCTCCATTCAGAGCCATGTTGCTTCAGTGCTGCACGTTGTGCGTGATCACGTCAGAATCCTCAAGTGTCGTCTTCTTCTTCTTTGAGGTTTTAGGCATCAGTTTCTTCTGCTGCCTCCCTCTGGATAAACAATGTAATTTGTATCACATGTATGAAAATCTGGAAGACAAGGTGCAAAATGATACTAAATCAGACTATCATAAACAGTGGCACCATTGTGAAACAGGTTATCACTGAACTAAGGAGAAGAAAAACCCTGGACAAATCCCAGACTCAGCCATGGGGCGTTTTGAGTCTGTGACCGAACTGAGTCTCACTGGAATATAAACGTGCTCTCTTTATGTTATTTATATATGTATTCATTGTGTGTTATATGTATTATTAATGTAACTTTTGTATATCATGTACTGCCCAAATAATATAAAATAAAGTTTTCTAAAAAAAAAAGATAAACAATGTAAACATGTTTTAATTCTGTATTGAGCCAATGGTAAGTCCCTAACGTTAGCTCTCCAAATATTTAAATATGTTATTGTCATATGCACAGAAACTACAGTGTAGTTATGGCAACTACAATCTTAAGTCCTAGGCTGCTTCAACAATGCTACACAAATATATATAGGACATAAACAATACAAAATAGTGCAAGAACAACGTAACAAATACAAATAGTGAAAATATAAAGTAGCCATTTTCTGTCCTCCACACTGTGTCCACACAAACTATTTTTGGTTTACACTAGTTCCAATTGTTATATCACTTATATTCCTAAGTGTATCAATCAATCACAATATATCCAACAATACAAAAACAATCAAGGTAGGTGCACAAATTCATTGACCTGATAGCCTACTTGTTTTTGGAGGAGAAAACTGTTTTCAGATTATAATAAACCTAATGAGCTGTTTAGAGTTAATACATTTGTATTTTTGCTGACTTCTGAAAATGTTCATTTTTTATTTTGTTGTTTTGTATCAGTTCTCTCTTCTGATCTACTGTTGGACTGAGGAAAAACAATCTAGCCATTTCATTGTTGTCCGGGGCAAGTTGAAATATGTCGATTGTTTCAAATTGTTATGACAAGCAAGCAATTTCATTTCCACAGAGTGAGACACAGAAAAATAATCAGCAAACACAGAAACCATCCCACACCAAAGTTATTCTGTTTTTAGAATATTTTTTATTAATTACACATTTTTCGACTTCACATCAAGAACTCAATCTAATTTAAAGGAAAGAGAAAAGTTTCAAAATAAGTGTAACGGTGTACATCAAACAATAGAGGCTTTTATAGGCTTCAAACTGAATTCCCATCTTCCAATCACGCTCTGCAGGGAGGGGGAAATGATTGTCTGCATATATGTGTGTTTCTACAGTCTTTGGTCTCTAAATGTTACATACAATTAAGCAGGGAGAGTACTCCCTCTACAGCTAAAGGACATTCATTAAAACAAAAACAATAACAAAAAAACATGTGAGTGTCCTTAATGGGTTGACAAGGTAACTATGTTCAGTTCCTCTTTAATGTTAAATGGGTTCATTACATCGTCACATATTTTTTCTTGGTTTTGTGCCACATTCCCTCGTTGTCTTCCAGTCTTTCTGTGAGTTTCATCTCCTCCCGATGGCTAACATCCTTTCTAGGAAGAAGCAAAAACACAAAGAGAAGATTACAATACATACTATATTAAATAGTTTCAACATTTGCTGCATGACACATCTCCTAACATTCAATATTCACATAAAATGACCGTATTGATGATCATTGAACTGTGTTCTTTGTGGCCTGCCACAAAAGTGACCGTATATCAAACAATATTCTATTCCCACATCTGATAATTATCCATATAGATAAATTGTGCGAATGAACCTCACCTTTACTATGGAGAGGTCTCTTTCAAGACACTGTAAGAGAAGAACAAGAAAATGATAATTTTATTTATAAAATGCTTTGAACAATTGTCACCTAAATTGTTCTCTTTACTTTGCTATGTGTACAATAAATTGCAGCAAAGTGAATTCATACTTACACTGATGTGCAGTCTTTACTCTGCAGGAAGAAAATAGAAAAAGAGAAGATAATCAGTAGCCATCGGGTGCATTGGTAACCGTAAATCTTACATTTGTTTGTGTGAGTTATTGAAAAAATACCTTCAGGTTTGGGGTGCATGAGCATCAATGGCAGCTCCAGTGTGACATCACTGCAGAGAAAACAAACCAGCCAATCAGAATAAAACAGGTATTTTGTGATCACTGCTAATTGACTGCATGAGTCAGGATATGATTTTAAATAAACTTGACAAACGTTATTTGGAAAATAGCATTTTCGGATAAACTTTACTCACCTGGAAGTGAGGCCACCAAGCAGGCTGCATGAAGACAAGACAGAGTTTGTTTTAGTTTATTCATAACTTCTTAATTACGTTTCCATGTACCAAAAGTACTTAACTAGGAAAGGACACCTACCCTCCTCCGGCCACCATGAGGTTAATTTTAATCTTGTAGGAAACCAGGATTCCCAAAACCTCTTTTTCTAGACCCTGTCGCATCCTGGGGAGAAAAGAATAACAAGGATTTGAGGGATTATAAGGTTTAATATAGTTAGGTGTCTTTTAAAGTTAATATACAGCAGTTAATATACAGCAGTTAAGACACAGCGTGAGAATCCTACTTTAGACAGTGCACTTACATAGTGGTGGAGGCCAGGTTAGTGTCCTCATCCTTCAGTCGCCCGTCCAGTGACAGCCCCCTCTTCTCCTTGTTTTCAGCCAGCAGGGGGGTGATAGTCAGAGTATTTTCGTAGGTGGCGTTGGACTCCACTGTCTCTCTGTACACACAAACAAACACATACATTAACACAACAAACTGGAGCTTGTGTTTTCGTTGATTTTCTTTTTACTGTGGTTCTTCAGTTGTCTGTCCACCTACCCAAACTCTTGGCAGAGAACAGCCTTGGTGTATTTGTCTGCTGAGTAAAGGACGATGTCTGTGAGTTGTTCCACTGTGAGAAGAAGGAAACAGATGATTATGCTTTGCTCTCAGTAACAGTGATGTTAAAGTGTTTCTGTGAAAAGAGGTACCCACCACTGATTTTGAATTTCTTGACTGTTTTGTTGCTCTCGTTGTTGATTTTGATTTTGATGGGGATTTGTTCCCCATGGAAGTAGAGCTGTTCTCAAAAGAAACAAAATAAATCAACAAGTTGAGGCTGAGATATTGCGGTATTTGTGGTCTTAGTCTGCTTTTACACTCTGGTAACATTAATGTTGTTTTAACGGAAAAAAATACACTTTAAATGGTAAGGTTTTGCTACTGTACATCTTTTTCCAGTGAAGCTTCTAGGTGAACAGGCTTGTCGGACATCATGAAGCTTTTGCAGATATCAGCCTTGGGCCCGGCGCCAATCTGGGAGGGGGCAAACTGGATTTTACGAATGACAAGGCGAGCTGTGTCCCTGGGGGAAAAAGGGGATAGCCAAAGTAAAGAAAATGTTAGTCAGGCAACATAGTGAGACAGACGGTAGAAAGTTGAAGTATGGTAATGAAAAAGACAACGTGAAAGTGTACTCACTTCTTTTCAATCTTCTCATCCGGATCGGACTGCTTATTAGCAATGTAAGTTTTGATCTCAAAGTCGACACCACAAGCCTGCGAAACACAACATAAGATGTAAGCAGCCATTGTAATAAACAAACCTGCTTCCTCACTACAGGTAAGGCGAATGGTGTGGTCAGATTAGCACAAGCTTTACCTTCCCCTGATCATCTGGTCCAGGCTGCAGACACACTGAGCATGGCAGGTTGTTGGGAATCTAGGGACACAAATGAACATTTATAAATAACAGACGACTTTATTTACTTTGAAATCTGTTTAATAAATATGTATTTTCGGATATTGGTTTCAATCAATTGTAGGGCAAAAGACTCTGGTTCTGTGGTCAAAACATTCATGAGTTGTCATGTGATTTTGAACATGGCATACTTTTTAATTTTATTTAGTATGCTCTCAACGGATTATATATAAAACATCAATTTATCTCAAATCAATTAAACTCCCTATGTATATCAAACAAGCAGTTTATTCTACCATGACCCTTGCTACGCACAAAGCAACTCAACAATTTTGAGCTTTGAAAAAAGTGCTGTTTGCTTTTTAATAGTCAGTATTAAAAAGGTATAATATATCACCCCAAAGAAATGTGCGTAGATTCAATTAAACCTAAAACAAAAGCTATAATGTGTGGATGAGATCTGAAAGTCTTTACACTTGTGTCTTAACATCTTGCATACTTCAAAAGAGAAGGGTTTTGCGTCGTCTCCCGCCTTCTTCAGCAGGGTGTCGTGCATGGCGGACAGAGTGGGCTTGGGGCTCTCAGGGTAGATCTGGAAGTATTGGATCCAGATGTCCTTCCTGAAGCACAGGCCCATCACATCCAGGTCCTCACTACCGTACCGGAAAGCACATGCCAGCTGCACAAACACTGTCAACACACAATGGTAGAAACATATTTTACTAGAGTATTTTACTTCTCCATGACATGACTCAATTTGGGGTTTGTTTTTTAGGACTTTGAAATTGTAACTTTTTATCATGTTACCTTTCCTGTCTCCAAAATCCTTTGTGTCGAGCTTCACAACACCATCTGTAAAGGTAACAGTGCAGAAGACATTATATCAATCATCCTCGACACACAGATGTAGACACACACACACATACTCAATGAAGAAGGAACGTACCGACTTGGTCCACTTTGTCCACGTGGTCCACATAGTCTCTCTTCCCCAGGTAGAGCGTGAGCTGTCAGATAAAGAGAATGGAAAACTGGAGTTAAAAGTCTGTTTCCAAATATTTTTCATTATTAAAAAAAAACACTAAACAAATCAAACAAGGGTAGAGGAAAAATAAAAATCATAACATATAACGTACCCCTCCGTTTCCACTGGTCTTCTTGAAAACCCTGTGAAAAAAGCAGATGAGAAACACCCATTTGAAGAATATTTTTTTGCAGCTTTGCTCCCCAAAAAAAACGCTCTTACTTTGGCCGCAACAACAGAAATGATTTTGTAGCTATTGACCTCCTTAACGAAGCTAGAGTATGAGTTGATGCACGTCATCCATGCACTGCATGTGTGTGTCTGTGTAAAGTATTTGATTTGATTTTCTTGAATGTGTATCACTGTGATGTCTTGTTTGATTGTTGTTTAATTGTTCTTTTTGGTATTAATTAAGAAACCTTGAGTTTGATTCTGACCTACAGTACAACCAACAGTTGAATGTAGTTGCAGGACAATGGATTTGTAATAGTAAATAAAGTAAGTTTGTGATTGTCCACATGAGTACATCCATTGATAGAGTGTCAAGATAAATTATGATTTGTTTTCGACTCTCAAGGTAATATGGGTTCCTTTGCAAGCAGCAGAAGGGTCAGTAATCCCTTATTCCCTTTTATCCATTTAGGAAAAGCTTAGTGTGGAGCAGCTTTATCTTATCGTTCCCGGATAGAAAGGCTGGCAGAGGTGAGGGAGATACTTATGGTGAGCCAGGTTTCCTAAATAGCTTGTCACCTGAGGTACTGTCTGAGTCCACATTTGAACCAACCCATCAACCAACTAATCCGTACAAACCTAAAATAAGTATGTTTAAATGACTCTTCCATTTTAGGACTTGGCTTGCGCAGGTCAACTTTTGCAAATCTAAATTGGTAAAGTTTTTTAAGTGATTACAGGGTTTAGGGTCAGAGTTTCAACTCCTTTTCAGCTGCTTTTCTTTTTTAAGCAAAGCGGATCAATTCAAACTTTAGTAACTTCTAAGTATTGTGTTTTGGTATAAGAAAATTATACAATACAACTGCCTCTTTATATGAAGCTTTGATGTTTTTAGTTTGAAGCAGAAGATTAACATTAAAACAACTGCATTTAGGGGACAAAAACAATATATCGAAATACAAATAATACTTACTTTGCCATCTTATGTAATGTCCTCCGAAGAGTTCTATTGGAAGAAAAGAAAAAGGCAGGTTTAGCAGAGTTTTCAGGAGTTCACAGCATCAGTCAGAGGTTGGGATCAGGAGAGGGATCCTTTGCTGTCAGCTTTGTGGCAGCCGGAGTGATGTTTTGTTTTGAGGGTACCAAAAGGTAATCCAATAAGATTACACCATCAGTGTGAGGGCACCAAGCTTATCCGTTATCCCGACTGACACGGATTCACCCCGAAACCAGACGGTACAAACTATTATGTCACGTCGCGTTTGAACGTCAATGCCAAACCTGTTGCTTGTTTGGACTATTCAAAGACAGTTAAATGGATGAAACCTATTTAGTAACTTTCTGAAGTATTCCTGGACTCAATGAGACACTAAGTCCTAACTTTAGCCCGTGCCCTGTAATACGGATTGCTAAAGAGAGGTCAAGAGAGCCGTAAGGATTTGATTAATGGTTCATCAACGATATAGTGGGGTTCCCAATTTCCCTTTACACATCGTAACCTTCCTGAGACTTTTAGGGATTAAAAGGTTTAATTCAGTTATGTTTTATCTTGACTTATATTATTTATAAACCTTTTAACTCTGTGCATTAAGTAAACACTTAACTGACCCTTTTCGAGGAGACCTACATGCATATGGGTTTGAATATTTGTTGAGTCCCTTAATGGCATCTTGCCAATGTCTCACACTAGTAGACTGATAAAGAGCTTTTTTAAATTGTTTTTGTCAATAATTGTAAGAATATTATTTTCTTAGTTTTCTAAGTATTTTTATAGTTATTATGTATTATTAGTTTTTTTGGGTCCTCCTAATAAAAGCATTTCACACGCTTTTACTTGTAGTGACAATAATCCTCTTGAATCAAGGATGTTATTAAATTGGTCTTTTAGTCATTATTTGACTCTTTTGAACACATTGTCTAATGCTCGAAGTCCTGTTTTAGTTTTTGTTGCTGCACACACAAGAAACCTTCTACAACACAGATTCAAACTTACCACAGTTGTAACTTAAGCTCAATTCAAAATCACAATTACAAATGACTCTTTATATGGGTTTGTATTCTATTTACATTGTTCTCTCTACAATATTGAAATTGAGGGCATTCCCTTAAGGATTCATCACAATTTAAGTAAAAGTTAAATGAATAAAAAACAATACATTACTGCATAACTCTAAACATATATGACCTTTGATTTTACAGGACAAACACAGACATTGCTGTATTCATTTCATTGAGACTTAGAAGAATGCTGACTTGTGTCTGATTTCCAATGCAAACCCACAATGTGGATTCAGTAAAAAGGTTTTCATGAGCAAATCAGGAACATGGAGGTAGTCCTCCTAAGCACATAAGGTAATTTTGGGCTGTGATGTTGCCGAACCTGTAACTGGTTAGCAGCTTATCTAAATATTAATGAACTAAATCATCACTCATTCCTTACTTTTTCTGTTTTTGCACCTCCTTTTATCCAAACGTTCAAGTGCTGCAGTTAATCTAAAATTTTACATTTTCTTCTTTGCATGCTACATTTTCCTGTTATTAATGGATTCATGAAAAAAAAAATTGTTATTGTTATTGCTGAGCTCGCTAGTTGTAAACTTGATTTGACACTCCCCCTAAACTGAACCTGAGCATCTTTACTTCCCAAAGTTAAGTGATGTTTATGATTAACATTGTTTATCACTTACATCTGCCTGCTCCCGGAACCTGTACTGTCTTACAAAAGGACCTTTGTAGGATAAGCTTCTGCAATGCAAACCTGCTGCCTATCATTTAGGCTGCTTTAATACTACAGCAGCCATGCTTGACTACTGGCAGCCTTGACAGATGCATTAAGCCACATTTCCCATTTTGAGAAATGGTATGCTGTACTATGCAACCTGCACACAGTTACAAATGTATGAAGACTCTTCGGATGATTATCTCTTCGATGTAACATACCTCATTGACTTTCATCTTAAAGTAGGAAACGTTTCTGGCACAATATAACATTTAAAGTATGCTCCAATGCAGTGTTTCCTCATCAGTGTATTGAATTAAAAAAGTAAAATAATGCTCTATATGGCTAAAGGCAATACTGTATCGAGCCATACATGACAATCAATTCTTACCTCTTCTCAGATGTCTGGGAGCGTGGTGTCGAGGTCAGTAGAGAGTGCAGTCAGCAACAGTTGATCTGGCTTTTTATACGTGCGATACGTGCGTCCTCCCTCTGAGCATCATTTGGGATTAACTCTCCTATTATTGCGGCCGTTTCTTAATCCAGTTAGGCAATCAGCGGATGGCTTTTTTTGGATCACAAAGGGGTAATTAACACCCAGTGGCTAATTCACACATGGCTGTGGTGGTAATAGTAGGCAGATAATCCCATCTGCACACACACAAATGAAGCAATCAAAGCACTCCTTTTTAATTAGGGTTAACTTCTCTGAAAGGGATGTTTTTGTCAAAAGGCCTGGGTGTGTCATGACATTTGGGGTTTCTGCTAGAAAGGTTCACTTATTCTGGATAATACCAAAGACCTGCTATTCGCCATTAGTGAACTGTTTTGAATTAGAGAAACAAATGGGGAAATCTTTAAAAATACAAGCTGGGAATTTTTTTAATTTTATTTTCGGATTATTTGGGAGATCTTCAGCACTGAAATCTGTCTCATCTCAGCAGATTAAAGGTTACACATCCCACGGATGATTGTTGGCCCTTGGCATTTCATGGACAGGTCCATTATAACAAGATAATGCTGAAAATTAAAATATTAATTTGAAATCCCAGTCAAAATACTGTATCAAAGTTTGCTGTTTTCGAATTGGTACATTTGCACAGTTGTTTAAATTGTGTCTTGTAAAGTGCTGAAATAAGCTTATTTAGAATATTTAAGGGGATTTGTAAGATTGTAATGGTTCAGATAGTTGTTTATTTTTATATCAGTGACTGATGCTGAGACACTGGTATTTTGGTTTAATTCAGCTTCCCTAATTGAATACTTGTTTGAGTTGAAGTTTAAAATAATTGCTTTTTAACACTGCACCAAAAAAACGTTCTTTCTTTACATTTAATATACCACATGGATGACTGTGTGGTAAAACATAACTATCTGGAGTCTCAGCGAGGACCACTAGACACAATTTTGTTGAAGATAATTTGATATAATGATAGTAAATGGTTAATGGAAGACAATGAGAAAAAAGGTCTTAGATGGAATCCAGCCAGCATGGTGAGCTCCAGGTCACGTGGACGTCCCACAAAGCAAGGGTCACCGTTTTGTAATATAGCCTTGGCTACACTGAGAAGTAAGTTCACATCAACCCAGAGGCATTGAAGGTGAAGTGGTATTTGAAAGCTTGATCAGCTTATTAATTACTTACTTAAACAGATGGGAGAATAAAGCTTCAAGCTGGAGAGGTTATTTAAAGAGGCATTTTCCCACGTAGTTAAACTTTACTAAGAAAAGTAATTTGTAACCACACCTATTCTGGTTTGGGTATCCTTACCAGTAATGGATTTCATGAGATGGGATTATGTAATCAGGATACAGAAAAAAAGGTAACTGTATTCCCTTACAGTTACAGAAAAAAAAGTACTACATTACTGTTACATTTCTAAAAACTGGGGATTACTAACAGGATTACAATGTTACAAAAAACACTAAGAAGAGCATGTTTTGTTTGTTGTGAAAGCTTATAAACATTGTTCTTTGTAAAGCTAAAGCTTTATGTGCGAATCTATACGCCTACTGCCTGAATTTGCTTTATGGTTTTCATTCTTTTTTTCATTCAGTGGGTGAACCTATTATTTCATACAATAGTGTGTGTGAGCTCAACTCTGTGTATTAAACTAAGACGGAGCATTTTCTGTCAGCTCAGGTTTTATTTCTGCTTTTTTAACTGTTTTATGTGCTCATCATGTGTTGCTCTCTTAATTGTTGGTGAACAGGCTACTGCGTGAATATGCTAAATGGAAGGCAGGTTTTCCTATAAATAAAATATCTGAGCAAAGGATACTTTAAAAAATAAAGTCTCACATAATACATACAGTATGAATGATAAACATCTTATTGATATTTATGTTCTCTTTTAATTATTTGCATTGCTTTTGATGTTGGGGTAATCCACTTTACTTTTTTATATTTTGATACTTAGACCTACAGTCAGTAGGTTACTGATTACATTTAGTTTTGTACGGGTAACTAGTAATTATAACGGCATACATTTTTAACCTTCCCAACCCTGATCTTCACTAATCTTTGTTTAGTCTGCAGTGCAATTTGTTCCTGGAAATAAACTGGCTTTCTTAGCTCTGAGTTCACTGATCGTCAATTTAACAGAAGGTGACAGTGTGATTCCCTCTGAGGAGGATTTCCCTGGTGGAAACACCGCGCCATGATGCACGATCACAGACAACAGAGAGAGGGAGTGGAAAAAATAGTGGAAAACATTCATTAATCCAATTTAACTGGCTGTATTAGTTTGATTTGACTGCCGCTAATATTAGGGGAGATAATGTGACAGAAATATAGAGGTGGGTCCAAGACAGATACTAACAGAGAGAACATTTTTTATTTATCCAAATACCCTAATTGCAGGTTGAAAAAAAGAAAGTCTCAGTCTACTACTTGTATGTAATGCACTTTTTCCTTAAAGGTCACCTAATATGCAAAATCCACCAACAACTCTGTGTTAAGAGATTCTGAAAGTTTCAGGAAAAAAGATTCGCTCACTTTTTGTCCTGAAAATTAGCTATTCAGATTTTGGCCACTTTATGATGTCATAATGTTATTTTGGCTTGTGTAACCATTAGCTAATAACCAACCAAGGTAACACCCCCCCCACCGTATCACCTGAATCTCCTTCTAGAGCACCATGGTGTTCTTTTTAACCAAATATCTTGCAGAGGGGCGTGGGGAGTGGCTCCTTATTTTCATCTAAAGTAAAAGAAAGATAATCAGCACTTTTGAAACAGCTAGGGATTATGGGATGCTACAATGGGTGATCTGTTTGGTATTTCCGCCAAACACTTCAGAGACATGTTTTGTATATATCTGAGACCTATACTATATTGATGAAAAACAGTATAATAAGGGACCTTTAATATAGGCTACTGAAATAACCAACACATAAGTACTGTGGTTAAATAAAAAACAAGGGTAACCAGGTTGAGTAATATTTATTTAATGTCCATCTTATGTGTCTCATATTTGTTTCTTCATCTGAGTAACACTTAACTAATGCTCTCTCCTTTTTTAATCATGAACCCTTTTTGATGAGAATAGATAAAAGACAGAAATATATTTTGTGTGAAACAAATATCATGTTAGCATCCAGTCAGGAAAGCCCAATATGGCACTGTTCCCGTAGATTAAGAGGTTTTGTTTAGGGCCAGCTGATTGACGTGGCTGAGCCTTTTGTAGACCAGTCACACAAACACATAACAATAAAGAGTGTCTAGTGAGACGGAGAGCCAAAGGTCGCAACCAGCATACTCTATTATTTATAGGTAAGGAGAGGAAATGGTGCACACCATTTAGATGATGAGGTATACATAACACGAAGCTAGCTGAGTATATTATAAGATATGGTACTAGTCATTAATCAGCCCAAACATGATGGGAAGAAGCAATATTAACAGGTCTACAGACAAGCTAACTTCTCTGGGAATATTACTGTAGACACAGTGGTGTTTGAACTAAATATGTATATGCTCAATGACAATGCTAACCCGAAGAAGCTCTGTGTACATCATCTTAGAGAAAATAGGTGTGTCTTACTGCACGTTTAGTACTACAATTATTAATTGATTTGGAGTCATCAGGTCACATGACATGTAATTTACAAGAATATTCAATTAAAAAAGTGCAGATTTTCTTATTAAAAATATTAATTTTATATAGAAGGTGGACTAAAATCCCCAAAAAGCATGTGTCCTCTTTCCAGTTACGTAATACAAGGCTGCATTGATTTGCATTTCTTGGGCCACATAACATGGACGCTTTTGAAAATAAATTCGATAAAGAATTATTTAAAAATATATATTTAAAAAAAGGCAAAAAAGACTTAAATCCTATGCAAAGAAGTGTGTCCTACTCTCTAGTGTAGGATTTGAAATATGCATTGGTTTGGAGCTGTACAGTGCTATGATATGGATTTTTTTGTTAGGCGAATTTACAAGTTAAAGGGCCCATGTCATGGTCATTTCTACTGATCATAATTCCATTGTTGAGGTATACTAAAATAGATTTATATTGTGCAATTTTCCATACTCACATTGGTTTCTCATACAGCATCTCTGTATAGCATGTGTATTCACTCTCTGTCCTAAACTGCTTGTTGGAGCTGCAGCATTTGCCACGGAAGGCGAGTGGCAGCTACCGTAAACCTTCTCTTAACTCTTAACTTGTGGCATTTACTTGCCACGGCAAGTTGTGGCATACGCTTGCCACGGCAAGTTGTGGCATATATAAGTTGTGGCATATACTTGCCACGGCAAGTTGTGGCATGGTTGTGGCATATACTTGCCACGGCAAGTTGTGGCATCTGTGACATATACTTGCCACAGATACCACATCTGTGGCATATACTTGCCACAGATACCACGGAGTAGCGGCCTCTGTGGCAGATGCCGGAAGTACTTGCCACTGCCTGCAGATGCCACGAAATGAGCCAGGCCCTACTGGCTTTTGTTGAAAATGTAATCTAGAGGTGGTTAACTCTCTCCTGAGTTTCGACCGCCATCTAGCGGTTCGTTTGGAAATGTCCGATATCCTACTATTTATTATTTCCTTCCAATGCTGTTTAGATCATGACTGTTTCTCTGTTTAGTAAAAATAAAACAGAAAAAGACACACAAGTAGCCACATCTTCAGGTTAAGAAACATGAAGTTCAATAAATAATCACCTTTTACAGCTGCTTGTTACCTAATATACCACTAAATAATACGCGTATAATAGTCTAATTAAATCATCCTTCAGTATTGAGCTTTCAATACAAATAAGAGGGACGTGTGAGGAGCGGGAAACTTATTTTGGCTTTGACGTCAGGTAGGTGAAACAAACCCCATCATCCGGAGCTGAAGTGCATCTGCTGCAGACACCGCAGTGTGTGTTACCGTGCCATCGCTGCAGTTGCTCGCTCCCGACACCTACCACGTCCCGCTGCAGACTTCCCGGGCCGGGAGAGAACCGGGAGAGAACCGGGAAGAGCGGAGAGCCATGGCGGAGTCCAACCCGATGTGGGGCTTCCCCCGTCTGCGCCGGGCCGCGGTAAGCTGTGCCGGGAGGAGGGAGGCTTCAACCGGGGCGGAGAGGATACTGCAGCAGGGAGAGAGGGGGGGCTGTTCTTAGGACAGTTTAGTACTGCGACACAGAGGTTGGGATGTGCTCGTGCAAACTGCATTAGATATTTAAAAATGCATTAAAGTGAAGAGACTGCTCTTATTCAGATGGCTGGTCAATGTTAAGAGTCTTTGCAGGGCAGCAGGACAGGCCAATGACAAACGTGTATCGTGTGTGTGTGTGTGTGTGTGTGTGTGTGTGTGTGTGTGTGTGTGTGTGTGTGTGTGTGTGTGTGTGTGTGTGTAAACTGCAGGTGTAGAAGAGCAAGAGTCTTTAGTACTGCAGTCTAACTGTGTAGTGCTTTCAACATATGCAGCTTTAAATTATGACAGATTTGGGACCGGCCTATGTGTGAAATGCTTGATGCCCACACTCCTAAATGTAGTTGTGGAATGCAGATGTCCTAACAAGTCTGCGATCATCCAATAACATTCATCATGGCTGCTATTTGAGTGCATATCCAGGTTTATACAGACACCTGGATGACTGTTCACTTGCTAGTGCAGTGTGTGTACAAAGGACTACTGTAAGGATGTGAGTGGGAGGGAAAGCAGTTTGTATTGCAGTTTGTATTTAGTCTGAGGTCAGCAGTTTCTGGTTTAAAAGTCTCCTTACGATGATTACAACACACCTGAATACAGAAAGCTGTTTCCTGTGCCAGTGCCATCTGTGTTTAAAATAAGATCTAGCATTGTTTGTTAGTGGATAAAAACCCTTAGAGGTGAGAGAAAAATATCTCATGACAGAGCCTCTTGTTTGTTTTATCAGATGACGCTGTATGCATTAAAGCTGTGAAAATAGGAAAAGCAACACCTTTAACACATACAGAGCTGTATTTGAAATGCAAAAGTCTTCCTCGTGGTTAATACTTTCTCAGGCTATTAGATATGTGCAAAAACTGTGGAGACAAATGTAAGGTGAGCAGGTTTTTTTGGAGAAGAGGAGAGGATGATATGTGTAAAAGATGGCAAGCATGTGAGAAAAAAGTTATCACAAGGGGAAGATTGCAGGATTAGTTCTCTGCTCAATGGTTAGCAGTCTTGTGTTATTCAACTGGAAGCCAAAACATCTCGAATTACTTTTAATTCCTTGGCTACTGTGCTTAATACAGATGAGAAAAGCACATGCAAAAGTGTATTTCAGCTACTTTTGCTGCATTTCCAATTAGGAAGTTACCTGCTACAAGAAAAAACGTAATTGAAAGTCATGAAGAGAGAGAAAAGTGAACAGAAACAGATATAAAAAAATACTAAACTAAATGTATTTTGACCCATTCAAGCAGGAAAAGACCATGTGACATCCTGAAAGAAAGTTTAGTTAATTGAGTTTTAACATTAAAGCTCCATGCTTGTACAGAGAAGGGAAGGTGAGAGCATGCAAAGCAGTTCCTCATTGCACATGTATAATGACATTAAACGATTCTATTCTATTCTATTCATAATGAGAAAGAGAGAGGAAACAGCCATCAATCTGAAGAGCTGACTGTCAGACCTGCTGAAGGGCTGTAGAGGCCGACAGACTCCCCAGACTGACAGAGAGAGATGCTGATGCTGTGTTGAGCTTTGCTAGACTACACAAGTAACACCATCGAGCTGTCAAAGCTTCTGACTGACTCCTCTCTTCCTGTACTCCTGTGCACTAATCCAGGGATAGGCTAGAGTTGAAATACACCAAAACCAGTTTACCACATTGTTAGCATGACAGAAATAATTTCCCTTTCCTTGTATTTTGTTCCCTTGTCTAGTAAGTGTGTATAAGAATAAAATAATATCACCATATCTTCCTCTTTTAGACCTCATTTCCAGGAAATCTGCATCTGGTCTTGGTGCTCGGCCCCAGCGGTTTGTTAAGCTCCGCCCCCAGTCCGTCTTCAAGCACTGACCTCGGCTTCCGCTTCAGCCAGGATGACTTCCTTTTAAAGATGCCGGTGAGAGGGGAGTTAGAAACTGAGAAAAATAGTGGTGGGGACACATTTTTATTTTACGTTTTTACATGTACTTTCCATATCTGGTGCAGCACGATGGTATCTGCTCCACACTACACACACTCTTTCTGTCCCTTTGGATATCTTTTCTCTTTTATTTGCTTACTACAGGCAAAACGCTGTTATTTAATTGGATGCTTTGTGTTTTTGTGTATTTAGGTGGTGATGTTACGTTCTGTTGGTGACCTGCTGCGCTACATCGATGAACACCACCTGACATCAGACTTCACTGCAAAAGTGGAGTACTGCCAAAGTGACTGGGTCCTCCTCCGTCAGGTACACACTTCTGATGCTCGTCTATCCACCAGAGCTTGGCATGCTGCTTTTGAATATTAAGAATGTCAAGCGATTTCATAGCTATGTTTGCACACTTTTTAATAATTAAAGGGCCCCTATTAGGCTTTTGGGGGCATTCCCTTTCCAGTAATGTGTTAAATATTTTTTGTTGCATGTAAATAGTCTGCAATTGGACTCCTTTGTTTACTCCAGTAACATCATGACATCACTATGTAACACTCACGCTTCTATTGGCTAGCGCTCCAACATATTGTGCGTGATAGGATCGGGACAACCAATAGGACCAACAGAGCCGACCAGCTAACCAATCAGAGCAGACTAGGTACTTGTTAAAGACAGAGGGAGAAAGGCGTGTAAACATGTCATAGTTGAGGCACAAAATACAAATATGAACCTGGAAATTAGCATAATAAATTCCCTTTGAAAAACACAACAAATCAGCATTCTTATCATATTTTTGTTATGTTTTATGTGTGAAAATGTGTGTGTCTTCAGGCCATTGGGACCTTTGCAGTGACAGTGAAGAAGATCGCACAGCATCTTCAGGGTTTTGGCGCAGAGCTTTCTGAAACCGACCTTCCAGATGAAGCTAATGCCATAGAGTTCCTGCTGCACTCACACACACACCGATACCGGCAGATGAAGGTTTGCTCCTCTCTTTGTGTCTAGCAGTTTTTGTATTTGATTTCTCCATCTGTTTTTTTTATTTATTATCTTTTGGTTTGTCATATTCAGGACGATATCCGGAGCGTGCTGAAAGAAGGACGGCTGCTTCTGTCAAACCTGGAGACGGTCAAAGCCTCAAAGAGAGATGTAGAGGCGGAGAGGGACTTAAAATCAGACATGGACACTGTTCAAAGGTGCGGCATGCAGACATCTGCTGTAGAGAACTTACTTGGACATAAAAACAAGTTGGTAAATAGAAGACGTACTGGGAGAAGGATGAAAAGATGAGAGGGTTTTATGAGGCATATTCTCAGCTTGACATCAACATCTTATTAAACCTTTGAGGCAGCTTGTGTGAATGTGTGTGTTGTGTGTCTTTAAGGCTCCTGGCTCAGCTCAGAGACATGGAGGAGGCGTTTGATGGCTTCTTTGAGAAACACCACCTGAAGCTACAGCAGTACCTCCAGCTGCTGCACTATGAAATGAGGTTCCAGCAGGTGTGATGATTGGTGTCTGTCACATTAGGTCTGAGTTTATGTTACATGATGTGATGATTAATTGTGTGTGTTTTTGTGTGTAGATGGAGGGGGTGCTGGAGAGGATCACTGCCAAAGAGGCGGACATTGACTCTGTGGGAACAACTGTGGTTCAGACAGAGCAGCTGCTGATGGACCTGGAGATACTGGACGCAAACGCTCAGGTCACAAACAAAGTCACACAACATGCACACAGTTAGAGTTTTTGGTGACAAGCAGAAGAAAATGAAGCTGGTCTGTCTGCAGAAAAGCTCCCCCTACAGAGTTTGTCTTATTACAGATATTTTACTTTTTAAAGCCTCAGTCTTACATTTTGGCCATGCTGTTGTTTTTGACAAGTGACACCTGAGGGTGGAAGAAACTACATCTACTAATATAATATAACTAACCTTTATGAACTGTAAATACATTGTAAAAAAAACACAGAAAGCACCAAAAACTGGACAATAACATGGTGGTGACATTTCAATTTCTAGGTATCCCTTCTCCAAAGCATACACTGTTTCAATTGCAATTTTGTCTAAATGGGACTATAATGTAAAAAAGGAACATCATGCTGTATTGAAGAAGATTAAACTAGCGATGGAATCAATAATCCATAAGGTAAAATGTTTGATAAGGTTATAAAATCTATTAGAAGTAAGGTCATTTTCTCATTGACTTCTATACTGACTGATTTATTTTGCAAGCAGTGGTGTCGCCCCCCTGCTGGCCAATAGAAACAGTGCAGGTTTAAAGAACTTAAAGGTCCCATGACATGGCCACTTCTACTGATCATAATTCCATTGTTGAGGTCTACTAGAATAGATTTACATTGTTCAATGTTCCAAAATCACATTGGCTTCTCATACAGCATGTATGTGTATTCACTCTCTGTCCTAAAGGGCTTGTTGGAGCTCCTGCCCCCCCTCCTCCCAATGAGCCCACTGTGCTCTGATTGGTCAACTCGTCCACTCTGTTCTGATGAGTCCACCACCGTTACAGCGGAACATCAGTGTTTATGTGTTACAATGGCGTTTGTTAGCAACCAGAAAATGACACCAGTAATGACAAACAGATGAGAATGCTGCGTGGGGTCTGGGTGCCGTGTTGGTGCGACGTTGCGGGGCTCGCTGCTCCGCCCTTTGAGGCTCGAGGAGTGGACAGTGTGAGCTGGATTACTGGTTGAGGCTCGATTTGATATATTTGTTATCCACCTTTGTGTCCTCACATAAGGAAACAAAATATTTTTGATGTGTGGGAAGTGTGGAAATGAATTGAGTTTAAACCTTGATGTGTTTGTCTCTGGCTCAGGAGGAGATG